AATCTGGTTGAGTTTCCTTCCCTGGAAATACTAATCAGAGGCGGGATAGCCATTTGTTGGGAGTGCTTTGACTGTGAATTCCTGCGTAGCAAGGGATTGAACTGAATTGCATAGGTCTCTTGCAATTCTATGTTTATGTTTATATCAGTAGCTGCAAACTGGCTTTGAAATCAGCAACATGAGAAATGTGAAAGGTTCAGAGTTTTGCTTTCCAAGGGAAAGAACCTCATTGAAAGTTCAGAGGAAGGTTTTGTAGAATTTTTTGGGGCTAACTCTAGTGCTAGTAAGATGACACAGCAAGGTGTGTTTGTTATGGCTAATCAGCCATTCATTTCAATGGATCTGCTCGAAGTAGGACTAATGTTGGATTTAGCCCATTACTAAAAATATTCAGTTTATTGTCATTTTAATGCATCCTTCACCCATTTTTCATTTCAAAATGTAGCCCCTTTGATAACTAAAGCTGTAAAATTTGTAATGACATATTTTGAAAAATTAAGCCATTTGTTCTATTCCCTGTAATATTATTATTTGAATCACATAACAAACACACAAATCCACTCTGATCCCGCCTGCTTATTTCAAAACAAATGAATACTGAGATTTCAACATTAGCAAAGCAGAACTACTTATTTTTCTATTTATTGACATTCCTTTGTCTTATAAAGTGCATCATCTTCTTTCTAAGTAGGAAGGAAGCTGTGACAGAGTAATTTAAAGCAAAAAAAAGAAATTATTATTTGCTGTACTAAAACAGTACTTTCAGACAGGTTGAGATCAGAGGTCATTTGCTTTATGCTGCGAAAATAAATAACAACAGATTCCTTTGCCAAACTGCACACTTCTAAATTGGGTACAGAAATAATGTAAGAAGCAGGAATCCTTGTTTTTCCCCCCTAACAATGTGGATCAGGGGAATTTTGCTAGTGATCCTTCAGTGCTATATATGCTCACATATTTATAAGCAGTTGGAGCTATGAATTGCAGTGCTGTGTGAAGGCAGTGCTGACTAATCCTTATGTCAGAGCTAGAAATTACATAAGAGCTCTGATTTCTTTTCTTTCTTTCAGGCTACACTTGTGCTAGAGGCTGGAGGCAATTTATAAACATTTTTAAATGGAAAGAGAAATGTTATCATGAGCTTTATTCTAGGAGCTGCTTCAAATCATGCAGTGGTTGTCAACTTTTACTCCTCTAGTTGCTTTGAATTTCATTTTCCAGAAACACTAGCATAGCCCATGGTGAGGTATTCTGGAGATAAAGTCCCAAACATCTGGCAAACCAATGGTTGAGATCCCTGGTCTAAAAGCGTTCTAACACATCCCCATATCAATTAGCTTCATAGATAGGATCAGTCCCACTCCCCATTTTGGCCAGTGGGTGGGAACATATGATAAATTATATGCCCAAGGCGTTCTGGTTACTGTTTTTACCTATCCAATACCATTCTCTGAGCACACTCAAAGTGTGATGCTGAGTGGGTAGCCACATTTGAGAACTCTCCATCAGCTGATCTCCTGCTGTAACATGTAACATATTATGTAGAAGGAAGGTAGTTGACGTTCCTCCCTGGAGCAAACATCTACCCAGGCCTTGCTCTGTGGGGCCCTCCAAATGAGGTCCTTGGTGGATGGTGGTTCACAGAAAAACAATGTCCACATTTCTGCTGTTGCGAATGTTGCAGTAGAAGACATGCTTGCTGTGGCACTCTGAAGAAGGTGCCTATCCAGTCTGAGGTTCCATTACTTCACAGAGCAAGTTATTAGGAAGGTAGGCAAGTAAATAGTGGCCTCTCTAGAGATCCCATAGGCCCCGAAATGTTGTTCTATGTCTCTTTTCCCTCCAGAGAAAGGATTTTGAATAATGAGGCTCTGAACTCAGCCTGTGCTGTATTAGCAGCATTTCATCGTGCAAAATGAGAAACTGTTTGTTTCAACCAGATAAACAAAAAACTAAGCCTGAAGCCAAGTATTTTCAAACTCACAGAATAATTTATTGGCTCATTCAGCTTTGGCCAGTAAATGTATCAGATGCTACCATAGAAATTCAAAGACGAACTTAATTAGTCAAATGAAACTTTCCCACATCAGCTTAACTTGACTACTTATGGCAGCACAATGGCAATTTTGAAATGTGTACAGTTATTATTATTATTATTATTATTATTATTATTATTTAAATCTCTCTTCCCAAACTTAACTGTTCCAATTGTGGAGCCTTGCTGTATGTGGATGTCTTGTTTTAGCTTCCCCTCCCTTTATGAAGCAGTTGCCCTAATCGCCGAGCAAGAACGTGAGAGTAGTGTTCATTTCAGTCACAGCAAACTGCTAGCCGCCTTGGCAGCATTCCTGGACTTTTCATAAAAGAGATTTTGGGATCGAATGAAAATTGCATATCTTGTTCCATGGATTTATAAGGCAGCATTATCAGTGGATAATGATAGTCATGCTCTGAGCTTTCTGCATTTTACAGTCTGCCTTCTCAAAGCAAAATATATGTTATTTCCCTGGGGGATATGCTATTAAGTGAATCCTGACCATGGCATAAGCATAATAAGAGGTATGCCATTCTGCAGGTAGAAGAGCTGTCTTTTTTGTTGGTTAATATTTAATTGAAGGTCAAATGAAATATTAAACAGGCAAATTATATAATTGTATGTGAGAAAATAACATCATTGCCTAATGTTGGCTGACAAAATGACATGGCAGTATTTACAAGAGCTGGAACAAATATTATACAGAGTGATGGACATGTGAACCAAAGGAAATCTTTCTAAATACAACATTATGTCACTTCATTATAGAGAAAGGTTCTGTGAGAAACACTGGTGGATTTACATCCTTTATTTGACATGTCAAAAATGATGTCCTCCATGTCTACCCAAGGTTACTCCAAGGTTCCCCAAAGTAGCTGTGCTCCTTTTTGTATAGATGCCACTAGCAAGCTTACTGAAAAACAAAACAACCTGATCTGATATAAAGCAGCTACTAGGGTTGCTTAGATGCTATTGTATAAGATGATGCTTCCTGTCGTAGCTGACGTAAAGTACTAATGAAGGCTCTAAGGTTGCAACTCCATTCTGGAGTAATACGAAACATGTGCCTCTGTCAGGTCTAATATTTTCCTGAAACTGGAGGCAGCCTTGTGAAAAATAGGCAATGCATCAGAGCTCATAAATGTACAAAAAGTATTTTGAATTTTGTTAGATGTTAGAATGATTCATATTCTCATGAAGTTGAACCTTTTCTGCTTAGAATTTCCTGCCATTTCATTTAGTAAACTTCTACTTTTAAAAAAAGCCAAAGTAGAGATAGAATATCCAAAGGAAAGAGTTCTCTCTTCTACCCAGGGAACTGCTCATATTATTGGGAAATCAGTTTCACTGGAGGACATATTAACTCCCCCCCCCCCACTCCAATGTTCTCTTCAAGGTTGAAATTATTGTATAAGTCTGCCTAGAATTAGGAGTTTCCAAGGTATGGACAAATGGCAAGAAGAAGGGGAAAATCATTCCTCATACATTTCCAATCAGATCAGCAGTCCTGCAGAGCTGCCTTGAAAGTTCCAAAAATGCAGGATACCTTTGTCATGGCTGTCCCTTATTCAGTTGAATCCTCCATCCCCATCTATCTCTACTCCCATCCTACAAGTGAATGTGTGAACAGAAATGTGAAAGTAAATATAATTAACAATTAATACTTGTTTTTCTGGAACCAGTAGAGGAAAACATTGTCATCAATAAATTCTATCAAACAATGGACATCAAATTTATTTTCAGAGACGTTCCCTGGAAAAATAGCTGTTTTGGGTCTGGAAAGTCATCATCCTTTATAGAAATTCTCTTGTGTGTTTCTCACATCCTTGGATACATTTTATAAAAACGTAGTAATATTTAGCAGAACATAGCTTACCTACCATTATCCAGACTATATATATATTTGAAAAGGTCTGTTTATATTGTTTCAAATGACAAAACCCTTTGCAAAGGTTTATGGGTTTTTAAACTATGTACTGGCAGAAACCTTTTTTATGCAAAACAAAACCCTTTAATCTCAGTTAAACTCTTGAGTGGCAAAGTATAATAGATGGCTTCAGCATAGCTGTGCAGAGTTCATTAGCACCTTCCTGGGAAAGAACATTTTTTAATATGTTAAGTAATTGCTTCTTCCCACTGATCATCTGTGTGCATGTCTGAATATCTCACATTAAAGTCCCATAAAGGTAGTTAGGTTTGCCTGTTTGGCATTTGCAAAGAAATATTCAGCTCTCCTGCTAAGGGTATCAAGTGTGCGGGTGAGTCAGATAACAGGTGGTGCTGAAGGAGAGCAACGTTTCCTGTTCATATGACACAGTGGACTTGCTGGTTAGCCTAAAGCACTCAGGTGTTTTCATCTTTATTCTTGTGTTTGTGTTTATCTTCACAAGCTGTTAAAACGGCAAAGTTTAGTTTACTCAAATGCACTCCTGACTGAAATGAAAAAAATGACCTTTTTCAATTTCATTTTTTGCACTCAAAAATGTTTTTCTCTATCTCTAATGGACAAAAGCATAAATAGCAATAACCAGTTAATTTTTATTACTTCATATAGTTTTTACAGTGTGTGTTTGTGTGTGTGTTTTCTTGGCAGATGAAAGATTGATAGAATGGTCTGAACAAGAGCTTCTACCAGAGACACATCTAGGTTGTTGGGCTAATGGTTTACTAATTAATATTCATGAGCCATCTCATTTAGCTGGTGCTCTTGGGACTTGATTAAAGTAAGGACTGCTGCAATTGCTAGTGGAGCTGGAAAGAGCTTTGTGGGTGACACAGCTAGCTGGTGGGCAATCTGTGGAGCCAGCTAGGACAATAATCTTGCAGCAGCAGCATCAGCGGATATTGTCAACCCCTCTGCATTAGGCCTTCGACATTCGAGCCCCCCTTAAGAATGGTGTGATGGAATCAATTTCAGCTCATCTCACTTAATCTTCTTATGCATGTTTTGCATTTGTTTTCTAAGGTCTGAAGGAAGAGATGACCATGTAGATGACAACAGACTGGATGCAGCATAATGGGAAGCAGTGAATGGGGTGGAACTGGCTTGCAACCTTGAAAACAGCCATCGCGTGGACTATCTATCACCTGGCCGGAGAGACATATCCAACGGTCTTTGCTTTCTCACCTGTTATTACTGGAAGCATAAAGTGGATCCCTTCCATTATTTTGTCTTGGATTTGAGTTTCCATCCTTGCAAAATTTCCAGTTGTACATTGCACACAGAACGGAGCAATACTACCAGCAACAATGGGTGACATGACAAATAGCGATTTTTATTCAAAGAACCAAAGAAATGAGGCCAACCATGCAGGAGAATTTGGGTGCACGCTTGAGGAGCTGCGCTCTCTCATGGAACTTCGAGGAACAGAAGCAGTAGTAAAAATTACAGAGACATATGGGGACACTGAGGGCCTATGCAGACACTTGAAGACGACGCCAATAGAAGGTAAGGAATGTTCTATTTTCCCCATGGAGTTTGAAATAAAGGTTCTTCTTTCATTATAAAGCAAAGTGTCCCTATTGAGGTTTTGACCACGATGGTGGTACGTCCAGTAGAAGAAAATACCACAGAACACAGGGAAGAAACCCAAAGACACTGCATCAGAGAGACACAAAAATAGTTAGCTGTTAATGCTTGTGCAAAGTGGGAGTATAAAAATACCAAACAAGTTAATTTGATTTCTGATTCAGCTATAGTTGCAGAAGAATGCATAAGAATAATTCCTTAAATATTTGGCTTAATTGTGTTCTGGGCCATACTTACAATATTGCTAAGCAGATCCAAATATGTGGTACATTTTGTTCTCTAACAATATTATTTTACATTTATGTCCACCCCCTCTGTCTGCACAGCTGAATCTGCTTTGGATATTTGAAACACAACTATAGTTTATGTCCTAGTGTCCCGGATAGCCACACAGCCAGCTGTTCTCACAAAAACCCTTTGGACACTTTATTTGTTATATTCCACTTAATTAATTATGAGCAATACAAGTTTTATTTTAGAGGCAAACATTTAATATGAGTTCTGCCATTTTGTTTTTTTCAATATGGAAAGTCATTTTAGATGTGTCCAAAATGTTTTAATAGGCAGCATTTATTGAGTAATTGGCAGAAGATCAAAATTTGTGCATATTTGCCTTCTATCCCAAATAGCCCAAGACTCAGAAAGCAGTCATTCTGCTGATTAAACTACTGCTTTAAAAACTAAAATGCTGTTGGATTTCCAGATTGGTAATTGAGGATTGAATTTGGCTGTTGTAGTAATGCTTGATTTTTGAGGGCCAAATGGTCATCTGGCAAATGACATTGTAATTTGGTGAATGGCTTGAACAGTGAAATCAAAAAATGCAGAATAATCATTGCACAGATGTCCCTGCATAGTTGGCATTATATTTTGTACTGTTACACTGGTGGACATCAGTTGCCTTGGCAAGATTTAGAGATAGGAAGTCTTGTCCCAGTTTTAGTTGAAATTTCTGTCATATAAATATGTATAAAATGGCAGTACAAAACTAGCATGAGAAAAATGGGCAGTAGATCAAAACTTTTTGCTTTGTGAGCTAGGCTATGTAACTTCTGAAGTATTTTTGGAGCAACATAGATTTCTGAAATATCACGTACTTCATTCTGAACATCAGACCAACATTGCATTATGAAACAATCAAGCTTTGGGGTCTGAATTAAAGAAAGATCTGTTTTTATAACTGAAATATTTTGAGTTGGATTTGACATCACACTGGGGAAAGAGGGCAAGGAAGCAATCTTTGATGATGCCTTTGCCTTCGAGAAGCCTCTTGACTCTTGGAAAATTTGCTGCAGAAGAAGGTGCCACATGACAGACTCAGTGCAATGGGCTGTTTTGAGATGGAGGAATTGGCAACTGTTGTATCCTGCCCCCCCCCCTGACAGGATTTTGGCCATGTGTAGAATGCCCAATCTGGATCCAACCTGATATTACCGTGTTTAGTGACATACAATACATATTATTATTGTAAGCAGTTATGGCCTCTTTGTTGTAAAGTACCCTATTACTGTTTTTCTACTGAACTGTGCAAACTAGTGATGCCATTAGACTCTACTTCCCATAAAGTCTAACCTGTAAAAGGACAAAAATAAGAGATGATAGGTATTACTGTCACAAATGGAGGATGACACATTTCCCTTCTACAGATGTTGAAGACAGGGAAAGACAACCATGCAGTAGCAGAAATAGTGTACACTTTATGCTATGGAAATAAGAAATCAAGTATTGTGTCATGAAAAATATTTAGCATGCCCATTGAGAGAATTATATATTATATTTAAAACAGTGCTATAACAATATCCAGCCATAACAATATCTTCTGAGGTAAGCTGAAACTCCTGGGATAAGTGTGTTGTATAGTTCAAATTCTCAGTTACATAATATTATAGCAGCTGAGAGCAGAGCTATAGTGCAGCCTGAGAAGAATTCTGTATTGCATTATTTACGGAAGAGGCAATAAGGAAGAAATATAATCCCGCTTAGCCAAACAGGCTATTCAGTTCCCTACAGTCTGTTATACAAAGTAGTTCAAAAGTAATCTGTACTTAAGGTAAGACTTCCAAATTCCACAAATGCCATGAATTATTGGGGCATTGAGAATTACTGATGGAATTTCAAATTAGCCTCAAGGATGGTGTATTCCAACATTGTAGATAGCAGAGGTATACCTACAGAAGTATTTGCTTGGCATTTAAAATGTTAGATAAGATGCACACATGGAATGAAAATGTTAATTATTCCTAGATACAGAATAGGAACCTTTACAGGTAGTTTCACATAATGAATGAAGAAATATTATCTGTGAAAACACAATAAATATGCTCAAGTCATAAAAAAAAGATTTATTCCTTTAGGTACATAATGAATGATGGTGAAAGCTCAATACTACAGGAAGGGAATAATAAGCAAATAATTGCTGATGGACTGTTGACCCAGAAATGAAATCAGGATCTAGAAAACTCAGTGTGTGAACAATTTGAAAGTATGTTTTAACTGTGAATGGAATGGGGAATATTTCTGGGAACAGAAGGGAATATAGGTTTACCTCAGGCTGTTTTACACTGTGCTAGCTTTTCTTATACTAATGTATAAGCTGACCTTATGTATAACTCAAGGACAGGTTTGGGGGCCAAAATTATGGATTTTGATATGACCTATGGATAAGTCAAGGATCATTCTGTGGAGAGGGGAAAACACTGGTGTCACCTCTGGAGACACTGATGACTGCCATTTTACTACTCAGACATTCAAAAGTCCAGAAGTGGTGCCTCAACGGAGAAAGTAGAAGAGATTGGTGCTTCTTTTAGGTTATTTCAAGATGGACTAAGCCCTTTACTTTGGCCATTCCATTCAAATAGTTCCTTTTTTGATCAGAGTGAAGGTATAGGACTTATATTGTCCCATAGATTTTGGGATTGATTTTTGACTAAAATTGCTAGTGTATAGGTTATTTGCTATGATTAATCTATTGTATTTTGATCTGTGACTGTATAATAAATTTGGTTGGTTGATTGATGCTTGTTAGTTGAATGGAAAGATTTGTTCTCCTGTCTAATTTATACTTGTGCTACATTTAGACTTAGGAAGTGGTCTGGAATATATTCATTTGCCAAAGAGCAGCTTCATAAGAAAACTGTCTTGCTATTTTTAGCCATATTCCTCTAGAGCTGTGGTTCTCAACCTGTGGGTCCCCAGGTGTTTTGGCCTGCAACTCCCAGAAATCCCAGCCAGTTTACCAGCTGTTAGGATTTCTGGTAGTTGGAGGCCAAAACATCTGGGGACCCACAGATTGAGAACCACTGTCCTAGAGGTTGTAGCTTATTAGTAACCTTCAAAAAAGACAACACCAATACTCCCTAATTCTATTGTAGTAACAAATATACACTTGGTTGTTTTAGTACATGCTGTCTCAGTACAGATTTTGAAATAGTGCTGGAGAACAATTGCCATTTGCACAAGGTTTTCTAAGCTTCCGTGAAACTTAAGTCTTGCAGTCTGTAATGACACTTTGAAAATAGCCTTCCTCCTTCATGCACCCTAATGGCAATTAAGAGAATACTGAATGACATTCAATAGGACATTCCATTGCAGAATGTTGAATGATGTTCACTCCTCCCAGAACAACTGTGCACATACACTTCTATAGAAGAAGAACACAACCCCCTGAATATCCAGGGCACAAATATTTAAAAATACGAAAGTATCCCATTTTGATAGAATGAGTGTAAGAGATTGTATCAGACTGAAGAAAGATATTATGTGTTCATTTAATATTCATGTAAAATTTAGCACTAGTGTCTAATTCATTAAAAATTATTCCCATTTGAAATCAGGAAGAATGTTACTCATGGTAATAAATAACTGATTATTATTATTATTATTATTATTATTATTATTAAACTTTATTTGTACCCCGCTAGCATCTCCCGAAGGATTCGATGCGGCTTACACAGGCCGAGGCCTCAACACACAACATAACAATACAATCTAAGCAAATCAAACAATTAAAACAGAATAAAGCAAAGTGAACAACGGCACAATACACTAAAACACAATAAAACTGGGCCAGGCCAGAGTAAAGGGTACAAGATGTGACAGGAGGTGTATATAAGGCTTCTAGGGCAAGTGCGATGTGCGATGTGCAGCAATCATTGGTTCTGGTAAAGTGCTTATGGGACTTGGTAGTGGAGATTTCCTAATCTGGGAAGGCGCATTGGAAAAGCCAGGTCTTCAGGTTCTTTCTGAAGACAGCCAATGTAGGGGCCTGTCTAAGGTCTTCCAAAGTCGGGGGCCACCACAGAAAAGGCCCTGTCCCGCGTCCCCACCAAGCGCGCTTGCGACGCAGTTGGGATCACGAGCAGGGCCTCTCCAGATGACCGAAGTGAACATGTGGGTTCGTAGATGGAAATGCGGTCACGCAGGTAGGCTGGTCCCAAACCGTTCAGGGCTTTGTAGGTAAACGACTCCGGCCCTGTTTACCTCTCCGAAAGTATTCTCCCCTACGAACCATCAAGACCACTAAGATCGTCTGGAGGGGCCCTGCTCTCGGTCCCTCTGCCTGCACAAGCACGGCTGGTGGGGACGAGGGACAGGGCCTTCTCGATGGTGGCCCTCGACTTTGGAACTCCCTGCCATTAGAGATCAGAACTGCCCCCTCCCTCATGACGTTCAGGAAACTAACAAAGACCTGGTTGTGGAACGCGGCATTTGACAACTGATTTAATTCTTTGCCCACATGAAAGGAGGATGATGAATGGGATTGTGATGGTGTTGGACGATTTGGCTCTTTTAACTGTGATGATAATGTTTTAATGTGTATGGTGCTGATATTTTAATCGTGTAATGAAGTGGCATTGTGTTGTTATTGTATATTCTTTGTATGTTAACACATGTTGTGAACCGGTCCGAATCCCTCTTTG